CTCAAGTCTTCACATTTTGAAACTGACAACTGATAAGTTTCTTTATTTTCAGCGGCTTTACTTGCTATTGCTCTAAGCATGGTCATTAATGACCGATATCGGTCGTTTTGATGTAGTTTCACATCAGCCTTCACTTCATACCCATGTCTATCTTTCACATTTTCAGCCCTTGCTTTTTTAGTCCATCGTTTGAGTATATTTTGTGGAGGAAGTTCCGTTGCATTGAATATATCTCTAAGCACCTTCACACAATGTCAACACAGTATGCCCTTCACTTCAAACTTCCTGCAACTACAACTCAAAGAACCACCTCTATCCATTATCACATTCTTATCTTTTTTTTCCATATACCACTGTTCTTATTGTATATATGATACTCTCACCATCATTAATAGTGCCTATAATGGATGCTTCAATGGACTGCACATACTCATTTTGGAATTCCTCAAAAATTGTTTTCATGTAAATCTCTGCCACTTGCTTTAACATCAAAGTTGGAATTGAAACCCTCGGCAACTTTTGGGACAAATTATATTCGGCTTCCAATTCCTTATACCTTTTCTCATAAAACACCTTCTCAAAATGTATGTAGAACTCCATCAAGTTATGGTCACAATTCAGATAATCCTTAAAAAATATATTGAAGGATTCACTAAGTTGAATAGTACTCATTCTAGCTGCCCAAGAATTCATAATATATGGCCATCCTCATTTCTCCTTCACGCGAAAAGTCTGCTCTAACCAATGATTGTCGCGTGCATCATACTTATCAAGCATTTAGTCCCATTGTATTCGGAATTCTTCTTCGTCATCAATGTCATGCATAAATTTTGAAAACACAGCCTTGACCCCTACATCATCGAAAACAGAACTTACATGCTTGATAGCATTTTGCATCAAATGCAATGTACAAAGTCGGTGCTTTGTATCGGGCATGACAATTGAAATGGCCTTAGCCATCACAACATCTTGATTTGTGAAAATAGTTTTCGGAGCTTTATTTGACATTGCCTTTAGAAAAATTTGAAACAACTATGTAAAAGATTCAGCAGTCTCATCATACATCAACGTTGCATCGAATATAACTATTTCTCGATGATGATTAAATCTAACAAATGATCCAAAAGGTCTATGCTCGTTATTTAATTTGTAAGTAGTGTCAAAGATCACTACATCACCAAACTAAGCATAGTCCATGATCATTTGAGCATCGGCCCAAAATATATTACTTATCTGCTATTCACAATCTAATTAGACTGCATAAAAAAATGATGGATTTTCCACAGTTTTCTTATAAAAGCAATGCAATACACTACCCACTTCTCTATATTCCAAATCTTTTTGTCTCTTCAATCTCAAGTAATTTTTTTGGTCCTATTTCGTGAAGCCAAGTGATGCTCTTCCACAAGATTCCCTACCAAATAGCTCATAACTAGACCTAAGAGGAATTCCAGATTCTGAAGCCAATTCTACTTTTGGCAATATATGAATGAAATCTTGAGGCACAAGGTCATGATTATGATGATCAACAAAATCACAAGCAATATATTTTCCTGAAATTCTATCTAACTTGATACTAAATCGGTCACCACAACCATATCTTACCTTCTGTCTTGGATTTTTGACAAGTGGATCTTGTTTGTCAATACCCCGACTTCCCTCTTTGTAATATACAAACATCCGTGATGTTATCTCCTTTGTATATTTGTTCTTGTTTGCATAAACCTTCCTAATACTAAAGCCTACCTTTCCCCCATAGGTATTGTAAAAGTCATATGTGGCTTGTTCAGAGTCAAATGACATTCCCACTTTCGGCTTCCAACCACAATTGGCTAACTCATCAACAATATTATTTTCTTCCATTACCTGCAATTCAGTATCATACAAATAACAAGTTTTACCCATCCATGTTCTTTTTATTTTTTTTCTACTAATAATGAGGTCATTAATAATCAATTTCTCTATTCTTACTATTTTTTACACATCTCTCTCATAGATATAACAACAAGGTTTAATCACATTCATACTGAATTGCAGGTACTGGGGGTGAATTACACAAAGCTGAATCATATATATGGGTGAATTGCCCAAATCTAATGTAAGAAATTAATTATATATGAATCTCCAGAAAATAATATTTACAAATAAATGTGATTAACTATCTAACAACAAATATGAATCCACTACAACAGATTAATGTGATTCACTATCTAACAAATAAATGTTATTTACTATCTATTTAACACATAAATGTGATTCACTATCTATCTAACAAAAATAACATATAGAACGATAAATCTGAATTTAACTACAACAAACCAATTATCAAACTCAAGAATCAAATATATCCAATCCAAGAGTCAAATAAAATTCATATATGAGTCCCCAAAAATCTGAATCTGTTATATATAGAACAACAAATTTAACTACAGCAGATCAATCATCAAACCCAAGAATGAAATGTATCAAACCTAAGAATTAACTATAATTTATATATGAATCCCCAAAAATCTGAATCATATATATATATAGAACATCAAATTTAACTACAACAGATTCAGTGAGTGAACCAAACCCACTTCAAAAATATATAGCCAGTTTCAGTGAGTGAATCCATTTAAAAAATCAATAACAAATTTATCATCAAACCTATTTCAAAAATTAATAACAAATCTAACCCAAGAATCGTATATGTATATATACATACATATATATATATATATATATAACAGCAAGATGATGAAATAGACCTCGTTGTGGCCGCTCTTATCAAGATTTTTTTATTAAAAATGTATTTGTTATCATATCACTCTTATCGAGGTTTTTTTATATAGGGCTATTTTGGGAACTTGGCTAAAAGCCACTTTTTTTGGTTAGTAGCAAAAGTCAAAAGTTGGCTTTTTTGGCTTTTTTTTCATTTGGCAAGTTGGTTTTTAGCCAACGGTGCAATTACAATTTTACCCCTCATGGGTCACAATGTGTTACATAGGTTCAGTTGTAAATATTTTAAATAAATGGGGGTAGTTTAGTCATTTTATTATGATTTGACATCATAAACAAATATTAATCAAAAAAGTCAAAAGTCACTTTTTACCAACTTCCCAAATCATTTGTCTAAAAAAGCCAAAAGCTTGGTTAAAAGCCAAAAAGTCACTTTTTACCATCTTCCCAAAACAACCCATAATTTTTATGTAAAAATATAATTTTTCTTGGTATGTGTGTTACCCTTAAAGAGGCTAATTATTTTGTTTTCCAAAAACAAGAACCATGATAGAAAAATAATTATTCTGTTTAGTTTCAGTTTTTAGAATTTATTTTTTAGAAAATCCTATTTTTTTATTATATATATATATATTTTTTGTTTTTACTAAATTTTTCTAATATTTTTAATATTTTTTAATTTTTAAACACACCCAACAAGGCCTCGTTTGGGAACAGGTTAATTTAGTAACTTTTTGGCTATTTGGTTAAAAAGGTAGGTAAAAAAAACTTGTATGTTTGGGATGACTTTTTGGCTAATTACGAAAAGATGTGCAAAAAGTAGAGAGAAAAGAGAATTTTTGACTTTTTGGTATGGGTTGTTGGCTTTTTGGCTAATTTAGGCCTCGTTTGGGAACAGGTTAATTTAGTAACTTTTTGGCTATTTGGTTAAAAAGGTAGGTAAAAAAAACTTGTATGTTTGGGATGACTTTTTGGCTAATTACGAAAAGATGTGCAAAAAGTAGAGAGAAAAGAGAATCTTTGACTTTTTGGTATGGGTTGTTGGCTTTTTGGCTAATTTAGTAACTTTTTGGCTAATTGGCTAAAATAGCCTCTTGCCAAACGAGGCCTAAACCTACTGAATATAATTGTTGGCACATGATGAATAATGTTAGAGATTTTAAAAAAATTTATTAAAATTTTTATCAAATATTTAATGTGTATGTAAGATTCATATAAAATAAATCTTATATGAATCTTACATTTATACGAGGCATTTAATAAAAATTTTAATAAAATTAAATTTTTTTGCATTTTCAGGTACATGACCTCATGATTCTCGTGATCCAAGAATAATTTATGCCTGGAAGTCCATAGGTGGCGCCCACCTATTCTGTCCGAAGGCCACGTGGATACACCACGTCACATCCCTAGGCACCCACCCATTCACTGAAGTTATTAATTAATCAGTACAACCATGTTGCAGACCCAGTGGCGTCGCATCCCAGTGAGGAGGTGACGAGTCTCCACTGACTGGAATTTAAAAATAAAATAAAATAAAATAAAATAATTTTTTTTTTTTGTTCAATCACAGTGTGTCACTTCATTGAGGTCGACCTTCAGTGGGGGTCTGAAACATTTTTCTTAATCAGTAATGTTAAGAATCTCAAATATTTTACTAAATATTTTATATAAGTGTAAATTCACATTATACTTATATGGTGTATGTCTCATATTTGTATAAAATATTTGATAAAATATTTAGGGTATATTCGGTTTGGTTTTGAGAGAGTAGTTTTTAAAAATTATTTTGGAGAGAAAATTTAGAATTTTTTTTGATTTGTTTGATTGTGTATTTTGAAAGTAGTTTTAGAGTTTGAAAGTTTGGAATAATTTGATATTTTATGAGAATTTTAATTTTGGAGCTCTAAAGAGACCTTTAGTAATGTGACAAGAAAAAAAAAAATACATACATTACATCACTTGTGGGCTTCACTCATTGTCACATCACTATAACTCTCTTTACAGTTTCAAAATTAGAGCTCTCAATCTTTCTTCTTTTTCAAAAGAATGGTATTACATGCATCAATTAATATACTAACTGATGTATCAATACTAATTATGACATTATTATTGACCCAACACATTATACAAATTATAAATACCAAAAAAAATTTAAATTATATCATATTATCAATTAATACATTAATTAAATACATATAACATTATTATTTTCAAAAACATTTGGGTACTAACATTTTTATTCTTCAAATTTTTCACCCATAAACCTCTCTCTCTCTCTCTATAAGGTTTTAACCCCAGTGTTCCATCAATTCTCTCTCCTCCACAGAGACGTATTCAAGCTTCTCTCCCTGCATCCATGGCGTCTCTCTTCACAAACCTCAATGTCACACCCATCTCCCACTCCTCCACCCCCACCCCAACTCGCTTCCTTCTCCATTCCTCAGTTCACCCCAAAACCCCAACCCCATTCGCCTCCATCCTCTGTTCCTCTGTCACTCGCCCAAACTACATCCCCAACCGCATCCCCGACCCCCGCTACGTCCGCATCTTCGACACCACCCTCCGCGACGGCGAACAGTCCCCCGGTGCCACCATGACCAGCAAAGAGAAGCTCGACATCGCCCGCCAGCTCTCCAAGCTCGGTGTCGACATCATCGAGGCCGGCTTTCCTGCCTCCTCCAAAGATGACCTCCAGGCCGTCAAAGTCATTGCTCAGGAGGTTGGTAATGCGGTGGATGAGAATGGGTATGTACCTGTGATTTGTGGTCTCGCGAGGTGTATTAAGAGGGATATTGATGCGGCTTGGGAGGCTGTGAAGTACGCCAAGAGGCCGAGGATTCATACTTTTATCGCCACGAGCGAAATTCACATGGAGTTTAAACTGAAGAAGACGAGGGAAGAGGTGGTCGAGACGGCGCGGAGTATGGTGAGCTATGCGAGGAGTTTGGGTTGTGATGATGTGGAGTTCAGTCCAGAGGATGCTGGAAGGTTGGTTTTTGATCCTTGATGAACTCAATTGTTTGGCTTGGTTCATTATAGTTTAATTGATTTTATGAAAGCATAGTGGCTTTACAATCTATTTGATTTTATAGAGCTAACACTCTATTTGGATGAGGTGATTTGATGAGAAATGACTCTTTCTTATGCTTGGTTTATAAATTATGTGAGAAATGGTAAGAAAGAGAACACTCTTATTTTGCCTATATTGTTTTCTCACAAAAAAGTGGTGAGTTTTGGTGAGAAACAAGATAATTGGTTATAAAGATCAGCTTATAGAAAGGGATACTCTTTCTCATATAATTTAATTTATGAATATGAATAGGTTATCTGTTATGGAAACCATTCTAGCCTTGCTTAAACTGTTGAGTCAAGAGTCTGTTGATTTTCAGTAAATGATTTATAGGAACAGAAATGTAAAAAAAAAAAAAAAAAAGAAGTAAAAAGAGGGAGAAAATTTAAGAGAGGAAAGACAAAACATGATAAGCATTTATGATTCTTGCTCATCTTAAGGGAAGGTTTTAGAGATAAAATTCACAATATTAATCTTATCTTTTGAGATTTTTAAATAATAATAATGCTTGAGATAGTAGATATCCAAATAATTCTCTCTCTATCTAGGGTCTGTGGATATGATAGTATTCATGTGTATTCATTTGAGTGAAAAACTAAAATAGTGTTATTGTTCTTCTGCAGTGGATGTAGGCCATCATGGCTGAACCACATAAATTTCATGTCACCTCTCTTATATTGTTCTTCCACAGTGGCTATGATCAAGGAGCTGCAAAAAAAGTCCAATTGAATCTTTTTGAACGCTTTCATGGTTTCATGTTGAGGCAAGGCAACTTTGGAGAATTTTTTTAGAATTTTTAACATTGATCTTTGAAAAAAAAAATGTTCGTGTTTGATGCTCACTAAAAACACCTAGATAACTTTGTATTTGTTGAAGTAATGCATTTGTACACTCTAAAATTTTGTAAAATAAGTTTGCTTAGGAATAAGATAAAAAGTTGGTTTTTCATCCAAATTTGAAAATCTGCCTATGCTTAGGATGATGTAGCATTTAGTTTATCAAAAGCCACAGTACCCCAATATTGGTGATAATTTTAAAGTTGTCACCAATAATTGGAGTTGCTTATTGATTATATTGAAAACTGTGTTTTCTATTTTTTTCTTCATTGAATATTGAAGGGTTGAAATATGTTTTATACTGGAATTCCAAAAAATTTATATTTGTTCTATCTTGCGTGAGTCTTTACAATGTCTGATTAATAATGAAGAATATTGTGCCTGGTCAGTGGTCACTAGCAATTTCTGTTTCTTCTTTGTTTCTAGCGTTCTAATTCCCGTTTACTAATTGTTCCATGATATATATATATATATATATATTTGTCTTTTTTATTTTTGGTCGGCAACAAAAAGAAACTTTATTGAAAAATTAAAATAGAGACAAGAAGAGGACAAGGAGTCCACAAACATATCTCCAATGTGGATCCCCTTTAAACAATGGAGAAACAAAAGCCCAAAGCAATGTCAAGAGACGCACTCTATACCACAACGAATCCAAATCTTCAATTTGTCTTCAAAGATCCTTACATTCCTTTCCAACCAAATGGCCCAAAAGATTACGAAGACAATACAAAGCCACTACACATTTGCCATCTTCTTGCCTCCAAAACCCTGGAAATCAATTAAAGCATGTGGACACTAACACCTGGAGCCACACAAAGTGAATCAACCAAAAGAAAGAGTCAATGCCAAAGATTATGAGCTAGATGGCAATGCAAGAATAACTAGTTTAAAGATTCTCTGTTTCTTCTACACATGATGCACCATTGGTACAAGGAGTTTAGAACGGGATCCCAATTTACTTTCTGTCTATATTCAAGATTCCAATTAGGGTTGCAAAAAAAATTTGAAAATTTGATGAGATTTTTTTTAGGAAGGGAAAGGTCAGGGCAAGAAGGACCATCTGCTAAACTAAGAAATAGTCTCACTTCCTAAGGAGAAAGGGTGGTGTAGAACCAGAAGACGAAAGACGGCACAACCCACTCTAGGGTTTATGTTCCACAATCTCCATATATATATGGCTGACATAGCTAATAAGGAAATTAAAGAAAAACGAGAAATAAATAATTTGGAAATAAAATCTCCTAAAAATTTTAGGGTTTAATGAGGTGAACCAAGCTTTGCCGGCTAAAGTCTATTTACATCATGTCTTACTTCAATCACTTTGAGCTGTACCAATGAATTGCTCTTGTTGCATTGCCGAAGGGTAGTATTTGAGCCTTAAGGTGGTTTCATAATCTCGGGTGTAGAACTTTTTCGTAACCAAGATAAGAAAAGGGGAGAGGAAAAGAATATTGAAGTCTTAAGTTGCAAAGTTAGTTGAATTTTGTCAAACTTCCATATTGTTGTCCATCTAAGGAAAGACAAAGATATTGCATCTAATGTTTTTATTTTTTTTATTGCTGGCTTTTCACGAAGTAGTTTTGAATTAGGACAGCTGGAAAAGCTTTTAATGATCTTACTATGTTAAACTTGGTATCTGTTGTTGATTATTATTTGAATTTCATTCCTATTGAATTTAGAAACAACTTGCTAGGATACTGGCCTTTGTTGGCAATATCTTCTTGTTAACCTATCATTCCCTTTTGGTTCTTGACAGATCTGATAGGGAGTTTCTTTATCAGATACTGGGTGAAGTTATTAATGCTGGGGCTACAACTCTCAATATCCCTGATACTGTTGGGTATACTGTGCCCGATGAATTTGGACAATTGATTGCCGACATAAAAGCCAACACTCCTGGAATTGAAAATGTGATTATTTCGACGCACTGCCAAAATGATCTTGGGCTGTCTACTGCCAACACATTAGCGGTATGTAATTATATTGGTCTTCTTGTATACATTTAAGGGCCACATAAACCAAGGTGCACTCATGCCTTAGTTCATCTAAATTCAGGGGGCATGTGCAGGTGCAAGACAAGTGGAAGTAACAATCAATGGCATTGGTGAAAGAGCTGGTAATGCTTCATTGGAGGAGGTGCGTGTTGTTTATGCGAAGTTTGATAAAAAAAAATTGCAGCCTCTTAATTTCATGGAAGCTTATTTTTTATGTGGTTTATGGATTTCTGTTGCTCTGCACGGAGCTTTCAGACAGCTTTTATGGACCTAATGATGCGATTGCATTCTGAGCTTCTTACTGATGTTCCTTTCATTGCTTCTCCTTTAGAGTAAGCAACAAGAATATTTTTAGCTGCTTTTCATTTGCTTGTGGACTTTTTCTGCAAGATTTATTTTCCAGTTGGTCTATGATGAGTGACTATGTTGTGCACCATCTTCATTGTTGTTTTGTGTTAATGGGGCTTTGAGGCATAGGGCTAGAGCTTTCATTCCTTCCTGTGCTGGTAGTTATCTAATACCTTTCATAGGGCTTGGTGAAAGCTTCAGACACAATTTCATTTGGAATTATATATAAATTTGCAGCTGAATGGTTTATATTTTTCAAGGTTTCTAATCATCATTCTGTTTTGATTATTAAATTTGGATTTACATATAAATTTGCAGCCTAGTGGTTTCTATTTTTCATGGTTTCTAATCATCAATCTTTTGCGCTACATGTTTGCATCCTCAACATTTCCTAAAAGAGAAACAAATGAAACAGGGATTCATTCATATTGCTTCTGTCCCTGAAAAAGTACATGATGTAGCCTTTACAACATTGGTACTCCATCGCAATTGAAACATCCATGCTATATCAAACCATTAAGATTCTCGGTGTATAAACTAAATGAAACTGAATACAAATTAAATTACTCTGCGGGTGTGTGTTGTATGGTTCATGCATCCCTTAAATTATTTTAACTAAGATTTCCTTTTAAAGTTTTTAAGCTTTTTTTTTTAAAATTTTAAACTTTTATTTCGATTAATGTGTGCGTTTTTTTCTTCCAAAATAGGTTGTTATGGCCCTTAAATGCCGTGGAGAACAAGTGTTAGGAGGACTTTATACAGGGATCAATACAAAACAGATTGTTATGTCAAGCAAGATGGTAGTGTTTCTGGGATTTGTTTTGCAACTTTTAACATCTATTTTCTCCTTAATAAATTTGCTTCTGTTTTGATCTCGTAATTGATGCATATTTTTTCTAGGTTGAAGAGTACAGTGGACTGCATATGCAACCACACAAGGCCATTGTCGGGGCTAATGCTTTTGCTCATGAAAGTGGTATCCATCAGGTTGGTTTGTTGTAATAAAAATGATACAATGATTTGTTTCATCTTACCAGTTTAGTATCCCTAACTTTTACATCCATGTGACTCATTGCTATGTTTTTCTCTTATATGACATGTTATTACTTGATTGTTCTTGTCCTTCATGTTTTAGGTGCACATCTACTTTCTGATATCATTGGCATCTTAATTGTTTAGCCCTTCTACTTTATAATTTTTTTTTTTTTTGGTTGTGAATCTTCCTTTACAAATGCGACTGGTTATAATGGTATCTTGTGGTGTTGTTTGAATAGATGTAATCTACCCATATTGAAAGTGGCTGAGATGGTGTCGTAAACACACAAGAAAAAATGTCCCAGATTTTGATTAGTGAAGAAAAGGTCTGTACGCAATGAGGTCTCCAGTAGAGGGAAAGGTTGATTGGTAAAAGAAAAAATCAGCTCAATAAGGTGTAAAATAAGCTTTTACGATAATTTTTCTTCTCATAAAATCAAAAGTAAAATATACCCATTTGGCTGAAAGTGTAGTGTCAGATATTATTGTCTATTCTGTGATTCCTTTCCTTTCCCCCCCCCCCCCCCCCTTGCCATTCCATCTCTTCTGCTTCAATGAGATCGTATAGGTTGTACAACGATCTGGGGACTTCGAAGATTGAAGAAAAAAATTCATTATTCAAATCGATGAAGTCTCGAGATGGAAACGGCAAGGATAGCTGAAAGAAATAGAATGCATAGTTACACATTAACCTTGGACTTGGGGGGTATCTCCTGGGCTATCCAGTCTCTAAGGCTGTAAAGCAGATTGATTGAAACTCTTCTTTCAGGAAATATAGAAGCAGCAATGCTAAGGTTTGGATTCAGAAGTATTCAAATAGTAGAGGTATCTTCATTGAAGTTCAGAAGCTAACTGCTAATGGTATTCTTCCGGCTGGTCAAATTTGGTTGTGAATCATAGGGAGGTGTTGTCATGTAAAGGGCTTGAGCAGTCCCATTCTGGAGGACAGATCTTATCTAACAAGCTTGTTAGTGCTTTCTTTATTTTCATGCAAGAGTTCATTAGGCTATTCAAGGAGAAGCACCCAGAAATCAAATTTGTTGCTGTTATTGGTAAAGCTGGTGGTGCCAGATGGAAATCAATGACATTTTAAAAAGCACCTCTGGATTGTACAAGGGAAGTTGGGTCTATCTTTTATTCTTTTGTTCTTTTTTTTCTTCTCGGTTTTTAAAACTGTATTAAGGGTTGTGCCCCCCCAGCACATTCTCTAACACAATTTTATTTGTTGCCTATCAATATATACACACACATATATAAATCTGTGTAATGTTTAGTTGGAAAACGAATGTCTCCTGTATCCCAAGTTCATCATGTTTGTTCTCATCTCCAGTATTGGTCTAGGCCTTTAAAATTGACTTATAATGCTTTATGTTTTGTAGGATGGAATGCTTAAACATAAAAATACTTACGAGATTATATCTCCTGAAGATATTGGGCTTCAACGGTCTAATGAGTCTGGTATTGTCCTTGGAAAACTCAGGTATGCTATGCTAAATTTCTACTTCCCATACTGTGTGTTCTTTCTTCTTCTTCTTTTAAACTTCTTACAATTAAATATACTTGTATATGCTCTTCAACAATATATCTTACTCTTTCGTCCATTGAATAGTCATATGAACAATGTATCTTTCATCATTGATGTTTTTTTGTTCATGCATCCTAATTTGAATGCATGGCTTCATCTTTGGATTTCGAGGACACACTTAGGACTTTACAATCTTTATAGCAACGTGCATCTAGTAAATCCGCAAGTCCAAATAAGATAGTAATTAATCAATCTTTTGGTGAACCATACAAAAATGACTTGGTGCCGAAAAAATCAAATGAATCATGCTAGTCAAAAGAACTTGTCGTGGCCTTCCACAGTTAAATTTTAATAGAGGGAGATTATTGTGTAAGCCTGAGTTTCTAATGGTGCTAGCAATAAATATTCCTATATAAAATTTGTACTCTTGAAGGTGCTGCAATGCAATAACGGTGGATTTTCTGTGTTATTTATTTTATGAGAGAATAATAAATACTGTATGGTGCTAATATGATGAGTGTTGATACTTGGTGGATTGAATATCTCTTTCTCTAGATTATTATTATATATATATGTTGAGTAATTTCATTCCATTTTTTGTGAAAACTTTTGGGTGCAGTGGACGCCATGCTTTGAAAACTCGACTTTCGGAGGTAAAGTGTAATTTTCATGTTTTCCTCAGAGAATTGTTTAAAATCCTCTTTGATCTCGAGCATTAATGTTCTACTTCGCTGTTTCAGCTGGGTTATGATATTGATGGTAAGGAACTCGATGGTCTCTTCTGGCGTTTCAAAGCTGTAGCTGAAAAGAAAAAGGTAGAGGGGAATAACTTGTACTTTACAATGGTGGTAGATATCCCTAAATCAATTAGTTAAAAATATATATTGCAAAGACATAGGTGTAACTGGTTTCATTTTAAGGACCCATACGGCCACAAAATGGACTAGTTTAGATTTATCATGGATTACATGCCAATGATGCTTTGTGATAGGAGGAGCATTGAAGTCAGGGTGCTTCATCTTCTTTGCCTTAATAAATAATGTTGGCAATCTCAAGTAAATGATGGATGAAAAGCAAAACAAATTTTGGCAAAGTTGTTCTTCACTCTGCCAAATAGATTTAGAGCTGGGAAGTATCATGTATCCATGCATTGTGCTTCTACTTCTTGTGAAAATGCTATTTGTCTGCAAAATCTTTGCTATAATGCTCTAATGCAAATTTTGTCTGCGAATTCTTTGCTATAATGCTAATCCATGTATTGTGGTTGTGCTTATTGTGAAAAGACCTGTTTTTATAATCAATATTATTTTTTGTCTTTGCTGTATAGTTTGGTTCTCAGAGTTTGGACTTCGTGCCTTTGAATAGGTTTAGGTTTTTGGTGTAAAGTTGTTAGCTCTCTTTTCTTGTATATTGGATAGGCACTCCCTCAGAGCCTTTACTTCAATCAATAAATCTTTTAGTTATTAAAATAAATAAAGAAGGTATAACCTACTCTTCACACTTGTATGGACACAAAAAACACAAATCCACTTTACTTCACTTTACTGTTATCACTGTTATAATGTTATCTGTGTATTCTGAATTAAGACACTCAATCATAAATTATTTGGTTTGGCCCCAGAATATTACCGATGATGATCTGAAGGCACTGGTGTCAGATGTAGTTTTTCAGCCACAAGTTGTTTGGAAGCTTGGAGATGTTCAAGTATGCATAGACTCTCGAGTTTCAACTTAGTCATTCATTATTCATTTAAGCTATGGCTCTAACAATTAGTTGGAAGTGACCTGACAAACAGGTTACATGTGGAACTCTTGGTCTTCCTATGGCAACTGTTAAACTCATTGATGCAGAGGGGGAAGAGCATATTGCTTGTGCAAATGGAACAGGGCCAGTTGATTCAGCTTACAAGGCTGTTGATCACATCGTGAAGGTTTGAAACAGAAAACTTGCTATTTTCTTTCCCCACAATCTTACTATGGCCCTGTTTGGTAGAGCTGTGGGAAAGTGCTTATAGCTTATACTTAAACAGCTTATAGCTTATAACTATGAACATAAGCTGATTTCTGACTTATAAATTAAGCATCTCCTGCCCCACTCAAAGAATAAGCTGATTTCTGACTTCCAAAAAGCTATAAGTTATAAGCTATAAGCTAAACCAAACACATCAAAATAGCTTAAATTAAGCTGAAAGCTGAAATAAGCAGCTTTTAAGTTGCACCAAACAGGGCCTATAAGGTTTAGGACTTAAAGACACTTGCACAAAGATGCATCCTCCAACTGTTAAACTCATTGATGCAGAGGGGGAAGAGCATATTGCTTGTGCAAATGGAACAGGGCCAGTTGATTCAGCTTACAAGGCTGTTGATCACATCGTGAAGGTTTGAAACAGAAAACTTGCTATTTTCTTTCCCCACAATCTTACTATAAGGTTTAGGACATAAAGACACTTGCACAAAGATGCATCCTCTTCTGTCGGTGGAAGAAGGATAAAGGGATACCTTCATGCCAGATAAAAGGTCTAAATATATGGATATGGGCTGAAAAAATGTGGAACCATATGGGGGATCTTATATTTCCACACACTACTTTCTTTCAGTTCACACATCATTTTTCATTTGGATATCATCTTCCGAACAAAACTACTTGATAACCAAAACCTATAGTTCAGAAATCAACTTCCAAACCAAAAGATATAGGTGGTGTTTGGGAAGCAAGTTCCCAAATTTTTTTCTCATTTTTTCCACTAAAAGACAAAAGTTTTGCAAAACCAAAAAAAACACATCCAAACAAAATATCACATCCAACCCCATAATCATTTCACTTTTTCTCTCACAAACATCACATCCAACCACATAAAAACCTAACTATCTTCCTAAACACCAAAAATTTTTTATCTCATAAAAACCTACATCTACTAAAATCTACATAAAAACTCACTTCCCAAACACCATCATAGCCTAACCATAGGTTTTTGTTCAAAAGTTGATTTCCGAACCATGTAATTTTGTTCAGAAGTTGATATCTGAACCAAATAAGTTGTACTTGGGCATAATGGATTTCGTGCCTTGGCCTTGGGTATAGATTTTCTCTGGTGTTTGGACTAGAATTGGATGAGATTTCTGTACAGCTATTACATCCTGGTGGAACATTTGTATACAATTACAACTCAAAAAGTATCAAAAATTTTAACCAAAACCTGCTATAATCTAGAACTTAAAAGTTATTCACAATTTAACCAAAAGTAATCGTCAATATACAGTGCCCAATTATATCAGTATTGTTGATAATAATTTAACTATCCATTTTCAACAAGAATTTTTTTACATTGAGAACTGATTTTTTCAGAAAAAAATAAAATAAAAAATAGAACCCAAGTCTGCAAAACAGTTAGTTTGGCAATGAAAAAGAACATACATGTGATTTTAGTTTGAAACTCAACTCAACGTTTATGGACTATTTAAATCTTGTTTTGCCATTCCATTCTATCAATGGTCATAGCTTCAACCAAGCATGCTAACATGTCTGACTTTTACTTTCTCAACCCAAAATAATTTTAACCTCCTTCCCTTGTACTACTATCATTAAGAACAATATCATTCTTCATTACTGAAGCAGTAGTTGGTTACAATATTGTGCAGCTTGAACCGTTACATATTCTTTTGAGTTGTGTATCTTTTATTCTGCATTTGTTCATATTTCTCAGCATGGCAAAAATTATTTGTAATGACTACTCTTTCTCCATATATACAGGTACCTGTAACTCTTCTTGAGTACTCCATGAATGCTGTAACAGAAGGCATTGATGCAATAGCCACCACTCGAGTTTTAATTCGTGGGGACAACAACCATACATCAACAAATGCTAGTGAAGAAACTGTCCGTCATACATTTAGGTATGACAATCGCTTAAGTCTACTTTTCTTTTGACTATAATTGAATCATTATATCTAATATACTTGATTGCAGTTTACAGTGCTAACTTCTAAATACCTTGAATTATATGATTTATTATCTCTCCTATTGGTGGCAGTGGAACTGGGGCAGGAATGGATATTGTTATCTCCAGTGTCCGAGCTTACATTAATGCTTTGAACAAGATGTTAGGATTCAGGAACCAACCCGAGTTAAAGGTAAAAGCAGGAAATTCTCAAGTGTGAAAATGAAGAAGAGAGTTAAGCAAATGATTGTGTATTGTGTTCTCTGTTGTGGGTGTGCTTCCATGTTAGGTGTACAAATGAAAAGAAAGAGGTGGGAGCATTATCATCACTGGTCTTCGCTTTGACTTGTGTTGTTCATGTAAATTATATTTCCCAACTTCTAGGAGATAAGATTCTCTAGGGGTACTTAAAAAAACTGTGCAGTGTGTGAGACTCTGGAACATCTTTATATTTTTTAACTTTGTTCTATAGTACTGAAGTTACTCTATTTCAAATGTTTTTCCGTTTCTGATAGCTGTATTTCCATTTTTATTTCTAATAGTGGTTTGACCTAATGTTTGAGGTTAATTGTAAGGTTTGCCATTAGTGTTTTGGTGGCATGAGCTTCGGTCACAAAAATATGAAAACAACCTCTCCAAAAATAAGAGCAAGGCTGCTGCCTACATCTTGCAGTGAGAATTTCATGCATTAGGTCGCCTTTTTTTTAAACTAGAAATATATAGGCAAGTAATCTCTAGATAATGAAGTATATCCTTACAGGTGGGTAGTGATGGGCAATGTATTGTTCTTTGAGTTGACTTAAGAACTTGGTAGCTTTTCATAATAAGTATTTATATTAAAAAAATATCTTGGTGTTTTTTTTTGTTTTTTGTTTTTTGTATTTTGCATACTCCGTTAGTACAATACAATGTGAATTGGTCTTGTATTGACCAAAAAAACTTGTATTAAATGGCAGCTTAGTGTTTGAGACGAGCAATTGCTTTTGATATAGGTGGGCCCATAAGAGGGTCCAGCTCACGACTCAGGACCCAGTCCACTGATTAGATATTAAAGCCCAGTAATCTTGAGAAGTCAATGATGGGTTAGAACCAATAGCATTCAAACACTTGTCAAGCAGAACCCTTGCCACATAAGTAGACAAAGATCTTGCAAAGTTATTGCACTCATATATCTGTTATAAATAAGGCTCTCACAACATTAAATACGACAACCCTTTTACATTGGAGGATACAGACTTACCATGAACGATGCGAGCTAGAATATAGACAGTATGGAGTAGACAAGGAAATGATGAGCAAATGGTATAAGAAAGCTTTCGAGACGCATAAAGGTTAAGTTCTTAATCTCCCTATTCTCTCTTAATACAATCAATCTACTCTATCCTAATTCGATCGTTGGAGTGTTCGCCGGGGGATCACCTCCCCTCTTGGACCTTTTTGCAGTAACGTTGTGTGGACTTCAAGGCCAGTAGACCTGTTAGAAGCATGGACAAGCCCGATCTATCATTCGTTGTAATTACTGTATCATCAGTTGGCGCCGTTTGTGGGAAAGGCTAACTCCGGTCGACAGTTGTGTTCATTGTCACTAGAGGGAACCTCGCCCCTATCTCTCTCCTACGTCAGGGTGGATGGTAACGACTAAGTCTATGGCTTCCCAACACAATGATGGTGATCTTGCAGCTGAGTCCTCTAACCTGACTAACCCACCTTCGTATTTCGCAGAACTCATCAACAGTATCAACCGCCTGACCGAACAAAACCAAGCCCTGATCAACGCTTTACTCTAGCGCGATTTACCTATTCCTCCCTCACCACCACAAATAATTCCCCCGCATCCTGAACAAGCCCACAATCACCACCAACTACCACCACAAATGCCCACGGAACATTTCCATCCTTCGCTCCATGCTCTCAACCATCGAATCTCGATAGTCTGAACCCCTTTCCTTCAGGCTCGCAGCTTCGACAAGAGATGCCACCACCTTTCCATAACCACCTCCCACTGCACCAGGCCGCTACTTACGACGGCGAGGCTAGCAGTGTTTAACCTCCGATCCTTGCTGTAGACACCCCATTTTTGACCATCCTCAAGACTTGGACGTCACCGATGGAACACTTGGTGATTACCCATGTTCGTGTTTCGTTTTGAGTTCCCGGAGGTCTCGGCTACGCGCCTTGCTTCAGGATCAATCAACTCGACTATTCTGTGTTTGGTTTTGCACCAAACACTTGTGTTTTTTTTGTTTCTGAGGGTAGAGAGTAGCTTGTTAGCTACCCCTGGCACCCACCGGCCATGGCTTGAGGCCACCGGTCATGTTTTGAGGCTACCGCCCATTGATGAAATATACCATTGGCTGGTCGGCATTTGGTGTGGCCGGTCGACCATATGTTTGGCCGACGGCCTCCTTTTCTGGCCGGTACCACCTTTTTGCCTTTTTCAGGCATGGTGCATGCCAGCTGTGCCAGCTGGAATACACAAGACCTGCCCCCGTGCATATATGTGGTTGTTTTCCACCTTTGACCCTTTTTTTTGCACCCTTTGCTCAAGGCTTCTTGAGGAAGCCTTGACCCCTTGTCTTGGCTTCCTCAAGAAGCTTGCACCTTTGGGGATAGCTTCCATTGGAAGCTTGGTCCTTTTGACTCTTTTGCAATAGCTTCTCTAAGAAGCTTAGAGCCTTTCCTTTGTCTATACAAGGAGCCTCCCCCTTCCTTTGTCTTGGGTTGAGTAAAAAAAATAGAGCAAAATATATACTCCCTCCGTCCCAAAATAATAGTCCCTTTTGGGGAATCCAACTTTTTTTAGTAGTACAATTATTGTACTTTAAAAAAGTTGATTTTCCAAAATTACCATTTGATAGTACATTTTTTTGGGAATATCAATGTCATAATTGTACTTTTTACTGAGGGTAGAGAGTAGCTTGTTAGCTACCCCTGGCACCCACCGGCCATGGCTTGAGGCCACCGGCCATGTTTTGAGGCTACCGGCCATTGATGAAATATACCATTGGCTTCGGCATTTGGTGTGGCCGGCCGACCATATGTTTGGCCGACGGCCTCCTTTTTTGGCCGGTACCACCTTTTTGCCTTTTTCAGGCATGGTGCATGCCAGCTGTGCCAGCTGGAATACACAAGACCTGCCCCGTGCATATATGTGGTTGTTTTCCACCTTTGACCCTTTTTTTTGCACCCTTTGCTCAAGGCTTCTTGAGAAAGCCTTGACCCCTTGTCTTGGCTTCCTCAAGAAGCTTGCACCTTTGGGGATAGTTTCCATTGGAAGCTTGGTCCTTTTGACTCTTTTGCAATAGCTTCTCTAAGAAGCTTAGAGCCTTTCCTTTGTCTATACAAGGAGCCTCCCCCTTCCTTCATCTTGGGTTGAGTAAAAAAAATAGAGCAAAATATATATATATATATATCTGATATACACTTTCTCTCTCTCTATATCTCCCTTTCTCTCTTCATTTTGTGTGTGTTTTATAGCCTAAAAGTGTGTTTAGTTCATAGTATTGCACTAAGACACACACTATTACACCATACTTCGGTTTGTGAGGAGTTAAGAGGTTGTTCTTGGAGGTTTTAAGGGAGTTTTGATCAGAAAAGGGGGCTGCACTTGCTGTTCTTCAAGAGTTCTTCAAGGGTGAACACTATTCCTTTTTATCCCCCAATCTTGCACTAGCTTTTTACCTGCTTTGCATACTGATTTAAGCTTCGTGTATAACTGAAAAAAGTCTGGTATTTGTATGCTTAAGATACTTCATTAAGGTCATTTTGTTGTTTGGGGTCGATTTCCCCTTCTTATTCTTGAGGTGTTCTTCAAGGGTAACACTTTTGCTTTAGAATCTCCAATCTTGCACTAGCTTTTGACCTGCTTTGCATACTGATTTGAGCTTCGTGTATAACTAAAAAAAGTCTGGTATTTGTATGCTTAAGATACTTCATTAAGGTCATTTTGTTGTTTGGGGTCGATTTCCCCTTCTTAGGCCTTGTTTGGCCCTTTTTGTACTCTCTTTGTTAAGCTTTGGAACCTCTTGTGTATTGGCCTTCTCACCACTGCAATCCAGTGAATTTTTAGTGCTGAAGAAGGGGTTTTGAGGTCTTGCATAGGGGAGGGACACCCCTCTCCCTTGGTCTCTCTTTGGTTTGCATCTTTGGCTCATAAGAATAGCATGCATGATTAGTTGTTCTTAGCTCCATTTCAGAGGTTTTTGGGTGTTATTTGAGCATATCTTACCTCTGTTTTTGGTCAGATTAAAGGTCCCTTGCATGCATAATATACTTGCTTTGTATTCCCCCATTTTTTCTAGAAGTGCATCATGCATTTAGCCTACCATGCTCTTATGTTTTGGCCTAACTTTGTGAAGTTCTTGGCCATGTCTTACCATGCTTAAGGTCTGTTGGGTGCTGTTTTAATCATATTTGCCATGTTTGGTATAGCCCATTTGTATTTTGGCTTGTGAGCCTTGAGTGTGTGAGTCACTAGCATGCTTTAGTTGGGTTGTTTAATGATTTGGAGTCATTTCACATGCCATTTCAGTCCCTAATCCATGCTTGTATGCTTACATTCATCATCACTTTCTTGCCTTGAGAGGTTGTTCTTTTGTGCCTTGGAAAGGGTCATAATGCATGCCTTGTGTTTAAGTCATTTGGGCTGCCATATCAATGGATTTTAGGGCATATTTTGATGCATGGAAACTCTGTTTTTAGTTGTGTAGCCCATGCCATGAGTGGTTGAGGTGGTTGTGGTACAATGCCCTCTTATTGGTCTTGAATCCACCTTTGTTTTGCATCCATTCCTTAGTATGATTTGGCCATGATCTATGCATACTTTAGTCTTGTTTTGGAATGCTAAGGGACTGTTTTAAGCCATTTTGGTCCTTTGGGGTTTGATTGACATAGCCATGGTTTGGACCTTTTTGTTTGACTGTAAGTTTTAGTCATCATGGTATGCCTTGCTTGCATAACATAGTGGATTTTGGCATTACCTTTTACATATTTTCAGAGCTTGTTATGCTTGTGAGTTGTCCATGCTTGTCTCTCCTTAATGCGCTTGAGAGTTGACTTCTTGCATGCTTGAGTGTTGGACTTCCATATGTGTGCATTCGAAGATGTTCAGTCCACCATTTCCATGCACTTTGGCCACTGTTTATGGCAAGGCTGAGGTCTGTCCTTTATGGTTTAAATCCACCATTACATGCTTGTCACATGTTTATTGCATATTTGACTCATTTCGTGTTGTCACATACTAGGCTCATTGCATATTTGTCCATGTTTGCTACATTGCATGTTGCATACTTTAGTACATTGCACATTGGCATGTTTAGTTTGCATTGCATTTGGCATGCCTTGCTTACTTAGTTTCATGATTGCATATTTGACCCATGTTGCATACGTGAGGTACATTGCATACATGCATAGCATTTCGCTTGGTTTGGGGTGTCAAACCAAGCATGAGAGTTGAGGAGTGTTCATACTCAAAGTGATGAAACACGCCTCAACCCTCGGTCGCCAATACCCTTG